CGTACTTCTTGGTACTTCTTCGTACTTCTTGGTACTTCTTGGTACTTTTGTACTTCGGAAGTACAGAAGTCCGCTTGTTCCCCCTTGACTTCAATCGTACTTCAGTTGTACTTCACTCGTACTTCAGCTGTACTTCACTCGTACTTCACTGTACTTCACGCGTACTTTAGCTGTACTTCACTGTACTTCACACGCACTTCACTCGTACTTCACTGTACTTCAATCGTACTTCACTGTACTTCAATCGTACTTCACTGTACTTCAATCGTACTTCAAATTTTTTTTGAAGTAGATGAAGTCTCGCTTTTTCCCCCTTGACTTGAAGTCAGCACAGAAGACTGACTCAACTTATGTGTATTTGAAAGTGTTTCTGCGACTTTTTTTTCTCTTAAATTTTTAGCCCAGGTTCCCCTCACCGACATGTGAAACAGTAAATTTATTCAAAAAGTTATTTGGACAATGAAAAGAAAGTCTCAAACTGGTGAAATACTATTTGAAGCCAAAAAAACTGATGAATAATCAATAAACTAGTTGCTTGATTAGATTTATTGTTTCATATATCCTTGAAGGGAACCACGGGTAAAAATTTGACGCGACAGAAGAGTAGCAGAAATAATTTCAAATGCACATAGATTGAGTTAGTCTTTTCTGCTGATTCCAAGTATGATACTTGTTTGAACTCAAATGGGGATTATTGGATTTGGAATTATTGTGTTTCACTAGAAAGAGAACACTAAATTATATAGTCGGTAAAACGAAAGTTGCTGATAACACCTGAAAAATCTATAAACTTATAAGACTGAAAAAATCACTATTTGTAAGAATATGATCCAATTGGGGTGATATTTGACATTTATGGATAGCAAAAGATTTCGATGTCTAAAAGGATCTTATCAGTTCTAATAGAGAAAAATATTCTACACCAAATAAGTTTACTTTCAACGAATCTAAATAGGGTTTTCATGGATCTACAGGTCAAAAACTAGTTTTATGACTTTCAGAAAGTGCTTCAGATCTTTCTTATTATCAGACTAAATTTTTTAAAAAATGTGATACTTGTAATCAGCACACTAAGCTCTATCGAACGAATTGGACTTCTAATAGAATAGCGACAAATATTCTTTTTCGAACTTGTACAATAACCAACATTATTATGAACTTTTCGGGACCTTGTCCAGCACTTTAGAACCAATTTTTTTTTATCAAAAGATGCACTTTTTGACGCTCCACAAAACTATGTGAAACTTACCTTAGGCTCTTGAAAATTAACTGCATAACATAAGCAAGCATAGTAAAATACAGCATGTAAAATAGAATAAAAATTGATTGACTTCACCTATTATAGTGATTTTTTTCGTTTTAGAAAGTAAGTAGTGACATATAGAAAAATAAAGAATTTTGTAGAGCAGCTTCTGCTCTATCGATTAGTATAATCTGATAATGGTTTTAGTGGAATTTTTATGGTGAAAAAGTTCATAAACAAAATGATGGAAAAACTATAGTTTTTTGACAGATCGATATTTTGGGTCAAAACTTTTAGATCGCTGAAGTATATGAAGACATTGGTCAAAAGTTGTAAAAATTTGTATTTCTGAGTAAGTTTTTATGCTCTTTCAAACTAGCAAACTCATTTCAAAAAGTAAAATTTTTCGGCAACTAGTTTGGGTGATGGTCTTGTAGATCCTCTCGTAAATATTATCTATGAGCGAAGTTGAATTCGAAGACAAATAAACATCGATAAAAAATACTGCTCATAGAAACATAAGTTTAAAGATCCTCGCTTTCTTTTTTTTTAGTTAAAGCTTACTAAGATAAATTAGATATCAATGAAAGTTGAATGTGACTTACTATCAATGTATAAGATCAGTTCTTTGTTTTCATATTTTTCGAAATTTTTAAAAACTCTGTTTAATTTTGCCTAAATCTCAACTTTGCCTGACACATATGTTGGAAAATCGCTTTATAATTACTTCAATATAGATAAGACAAGAAAATGAAGATAACATCTAGTAAGTTATGTTGTTGTAATACATACTTAATTTGTTTTGTTCTTTTTTTTCAATATCAGTTCTACATTTTCTCTATTAACATTGTAGATAAAAATGTGTAATGATGCTTTTGCATTAGATGAGGAAATTCCAAATCATATGATTGTTTGACTTGATTTACATATAGAAAGATGAGAAGTTTATCAACGATTAAAAACTGCTTTTTCAAGTACAGCTGAGACAAAAAGTGTGAATCCAATAAGATTAATTGACAAAGATGATGATGCAATTAATCGCACAGTTGGCTTTGAACAAGTCAATTTTGAAGGTGTCAAGTTTTTATTAGTAACATTCACAAATGTTGAACGTTGGTGTAGAATTTTTACAAAATAATCATGACAAATGAATCTTTTTAATAACATCAGGACAAATAGAAAGAGCAGCTGTACTATTAATAATGAAAAAAGGTAAAAATATTTTCATCGATCCAGTTACAAATGAACCATATCAATCAATTTATGTCTTTTGTCATGATATTAGCCGTAGTGATGATTGTATGAGAAAATATCTTGATTATCTTGCATTACCATTCATATTCGATAAAGATTTATTAGTACGATTAATACGTGATATAGTTGATTATTTTGTTATCGAAAGCAAACGTCTATTAGCAACGAATCCTTCAAACAATTCAGCTGCTTACAATCATCTTAATTGGGCATATAGACTTTATGATCAATATCGAGTAATGGAACAAGATTCATTAAAAAAAAGAATTCAAAGAAGTCAATGAACTTCTCTCATTAGCGGAACTAGAAATGAAACATTCATCAACGGATAATGAAAATTATAGTGTTGATGAGTTTTTATCGAATAAAAAAACTCTTTTTCGTCAAGAAAACAAAAGCTTTCCTTCATACATATGTTGTTTTCTTTTGTAAAACTCATATATTTTCGAGGAAAAGAGTAAGTTCAAATCGAGATTTTTGCGGCTTCTCCCCTAGGCCCTAGTAACCGGAATGCGAGAGAGATAGCGACTATTGGTTATGTTTTCCTTGCAACAAGGAAAGACATATCAATAATTGTAGTGCTTGGATTATTCTGGAACTTTCTAGAATCTTCCAAATTATGTTATGAATCTAAGATTTCTACTATAGACTAACTAGTCTAAATATTGTGATTTTTTATAAGTTGTCAAATACTCTTAAAATACTAAGTTATATTGATCATAATGATTATATACTTTTCATTCAAAGCTATAGACATTCTATCTAATTGTATATTAAAAAAAAAGCACGAGTAATAGATTTTCTTTTTCATTGTGATTTCTCTTGAAAACTACTTCTTTTATGTTCTTTTCTGGTATGTCGTTTGAGAGTACAGAAAAAGGACTGATTTTCTTTCGTGTACCGAAAGGAAAGAATAATGATTTTCTTTAGTATTTTGTTTTGCTTTTCTTTGAAAGAGTTCTAAATATTAGAATTGTATAGTAGTTGAAACTTGCACCAATGAATATTGGCAAAGAATGATAACAGTGTGATAGTTAATAACTCATCAAAGGTGTTGTGATAACTATATCATCGTTGAGTTATCAATAATCTAGGTAGAAATGATCTGTTCAGGACACTATTCTAAAATACTATGAGAATTTGGGCTGATAGAGCTTCCTTCGATAATTATGAGCATTTTACTGATTTTTCTCATCTATATTATTTTCTTGTTTGTTTTATCGAATTTTTACATTGAAAATAATTTCGGAATAATCAAAATTCTGTTATAAGTTAAATAAAGTCTAAAAAAAAACAATTAGGAAGTAAAAAAAAATTCTACATCAAATAATATTTTCGTTTTGTTATTATGAAGAAATTAGTTATTTTATATTGATGACAGAGCACATTTTAATGGAAGAAATCTCATGATTTTAGTTTGTTGAAGAAAGTAAAAAATACAATTCATTCGATGAAAATATGAAAAAAAAATAACGACAAAATTTAATCTGTTTGATAGTGAGGCTACTTCATAAGAAACTTTCGTTAATATTTTTTCAATCTCTGATTTCTTTTACTTCTAGAGAATGAATAAACATTGAAAAAGAAATTTTTGTTTTCTTTAACTTGAAAGACAAATTCAGTAAGTGTTTTATCATAAAGCAGAAAAAAAACAATTCATTTTGAATACTTCTTTCGCTCATTCATCACACAGAAACTATGCCATTTGTAATAGCTTTATTTTTCGGCATTTTCTTCTCATGTGTAAAAGGTTTGCTAATTTATTTCTTCTAATTTGATTCTTTCATAATATCAACAATATTTAGGTCAAATTACACCAGCATCTAATTACTATTGTAATGAAAATAATGCTGTTGTCGAATTTAATTTGTCTTTGTTACCTCATTCGGCATGGCAACCAATATTAAATTGTTCTTTACAACAATGTAATGTCAGCTTGAATAACAACGACAATTGTCGTTCATCAGTGACACCCTGCTTTGACTACCGCACACTCAATAATAGTAGATATTGTGCACCTGGTATTCTGTGTTCGATTTTGGAACCATGTAACAATATTACCTATAATTGTGCAGAAAATACTTCCGTATGCATCATTAACTCATGCTGTTCACCACAAGCCGTATGTTTACCATTGTCAGTTATGAATATCTGTAAATTAGGTAAACACACACTCTACTTAAGTATGTCTGTATATAAGAATCAATCAAAGTACTTTATCCAGATTCTAGTTGAGACTTTATTCGGTTTTACAAAGTCATAATTCAATGAGTCTTATCATACAATGACAACAACATGAAAAATAGATAAATATAATTCTGAGGGATTAAATTAAAGATTAAAATGGAATGAAAATGAGATGGATAATTGAAATAGATTGAAATTTTAGATATAATCAGAAAATAAGAGATTAATATGATACTGTACATAAATCGACTAGTACGAAAATCATTGATTCTTTTATAATTTAAAGCTTTGTTTTTCTATTTTTCAAGGAAGAATTATTAATGAAGGTTTTAGTGAAAGTAAAATGAATAACTCACACGACTTGTTTCTTTTATGAAATCAGTTGTATGTTTGATTAAAACAAGATTTGAGAAAACATTTTTTGAGACTTTTCATCGTTCCACCTACACACATCTTTATAATTCAAAATTGTAGATGAAATCGGTATTTTTAACATGGGCAAAGACATTGTTCCCATTAAATGCATTCATGTTTCTGACTTGAGATGATTTAATTAGGTACAATCTTCATATATTTGAGTAATAATAACTTGAGAGATGTTAAATCATATCACTGATAATATCTAGTTTCCTTCATCTCAAAAGTAATATTTCTAGATCATTTTATCGACTATCTTCATGATATCTTTAATGAATTTGATTATAATCAGAATTGTTGTAAGATGACTTTTTCTAGTAACAATACTAGTGAAAAGAAATTTTTAGATTGATTGACACCATAACATGAATGATCAGACCCAGTTTCATAAGATATTCATATGGATCGATCCAGGTTAAGAAAAAATCATGTAGAAGTATTCAATTGAATATCTCGTTTTAAACTATTATCAATCTTTCGTTCATTCAAATAAGATTAATTAAAAAAGACTATTTAAAGTAAAATTTCTTTCGCTAAACTTCACCTCCTATAGAGATTTTAACATTATTTACTGCCATTATCGTTTAAGAATATTAAATTACTATTGTATTGAAGGTAATTGAGTTGATGATGTCAATTGTCGATATTAAATTTTGCAAGGTATGTGAATCATTCAAAAATGAAACTTAAAAGAAAATATTTGTCAACTTGAGTGAGTTTGAGAAATACATTCATACCAATGCTTTATATAATCAGCAGTTACCCTGTTTTCTTTCAACTAGATCCACGGCGTTATCAAATTAACTTTAATAGCTATATCAGTTACTAGATTGATACTCGAATCAATTTTCTTCTTCATTGGGCATATTTCTCGAGCTTTTCTTGCAATGATGGTTCATTTTTAGTAAGCTATTATCAACACACTAATAAAAACATCTAATTATTATAGTACTTAGGTCAAGGAATATGAGCCGATCTTTGCACGAAGACATTCGAAATCAATGGAACTTAGAGACAGTGTTCCTGGCGAGAAGAAAGTCTCCGAATTTTTACACTGACTTCCGTGTAACTTCTTGTTCTTTCCAATGAGAAAGGTCCCGAAACTTTTTGACCAGGAATACTGTATCCAAACTCCATCGATGTTCGATGTCCTCCTGTTGGATGGGATGATTTTTCTGCATCTTTCCGATCGATTTCAGTGAAACAGACTTCTTTTCAAAGCCTGAAATCATTGACACGGATAGATATGATTAAATGCGCTTCGTTAAAAGAGAAATATCACAGGTAATAATATTGAAGAACTCTGAAATAGAAATTCCTCAATTGTTGAATAATTATTACAGACATTAAGATAATTTGTTGAAGAATCGAAGATTAACCAAAGCTTCTCCCAGAGTTCCATAATTTCTAATAGCTTGATTAATGTATTGTCCAAAGTAATTTTTGCAATCATAAATTCATTTTTACACAGGACTCCTCTGATCTTGATGTAAGTCCGACACATATGTTGGATAATGCACTATTTGGAATTTGGAATCAAGAAACTATGAAGAAATCGAGGAGAAACTCCTTTTTTTTTATACACATTTTATTCTTCAATTATAGCTGCTTGAGTTTGTAAATGATCGAAAAATCGGTTAATCCATATGAATGATAGAATAACTGATT